GGGCGCAGCCGGCCTGGACCCGCAGGGCACGGGGCCAACCTTTTCCTCCGGACCCGACCCGCGCGCGCCCCACGGAGAACCCCCGCCTCGGCCCGTGGCCAGCCGAGGTGGCCCAACGGCCAGCCTCAAGCAGGCGTGGGGACCGCAGCGCTCCAGGTCTTTGTTAATGAAGTCCTGCATGGGATCTTTCTTAAGCAGCGGCTAGAAAATGACCCTGTGAGCCAGAAGTTGAAAACAAGACGACAAAAAGAAGCGCCTAGGGACCATTTTGGCGACAGAGACGTTAGGGCTCTTCTCTTCGCGCTCAGCCCTGCACCCTTTGCCGCCGACTTCCTTCCTCCCTGCACTTCCCTTCTGCCCTGACCGTGCCCTGAGTGGTACAGCAGCGGCCTGGGCCTCCTGGGAAGTGACCGCGCCTGGGCCCTGCTGACCCCAGCCGGTCAGCTGCGGCTCGTGAGGGAGGCTCTGGGATGGGCCTCCCTTTACAAAGTCTGTTGGCCTCTCGGTCTCCTTCCCAACCGACAGACAGCTGCCACGGCCCGCCTGCCGCAAGGGCTGTAGACCGAGTGTGGCGGTGAGAAATAGCGCCTGAACAGGCGAGGAGACCCGCCTCGAGCCTCAGCTGGGTGCCTGTCCTCATCCTAATGCAACCCAGATGAGCTAGGTTTCCTTCTGAGCAACCAGGCAGGCAGCCACAGGTGGTTATCCGCCACACAGGCAAGAGATGCGGGTTCTTTTACTCATTGCCGTAGATGGAAAACCCAAAGAAAGGTCTGCGCGGAAAGATGTGTCTGCGTAAGACCACGCATCTTACTCGTTGTAGCGCAGACACACGAGAACTCTTGCTCCCCGAGCCTCACGGTTCACGCACACACACTTTGCTGGGCTCTCGGGGAACCAAGCCGGGAAGGCGGGACTGTTACAGCCTGCGGGAAGAGTTCACCCTTTACTAGCTAGGGAAAGCTCAGGTGCGTTCAGGACACTTAAAGACAGTTTTGAAGGACAAGGGAGTTGAGCAGCGGGAGGCAGTATGAGGGAGCAGGTGCGCGGCTCTGTGGGGCAGATGGAGGTTTCCTGCTGGGCAGTTAGCACCCACACACAAGTTGCTGCGCTGTGGCCCTAGCAGGGAAGCAGCGACCCATCCCGACTTTCCCAAGGCAGATGAGAAGCTTCACGCTCCATTGCAGGTCTGCCGTGGGTTTCAGAAGCGTAAATTAAGACCCCTTATTCTGGAAGCTTCTTCAGTAACAGGCGGAGAGCAAGGATTAGGACTTGAGTGGAGGTAGCAGGACAGAGAGGAAAAGAGATCCAACAGGTGCCTGAGAGGCAGACCCCACAGGACTTGGGGAAGACACAGACATGAACGGGGACTGAAAGGCAGTCAGGATGATGCTAGTGTTTGGGGCTTGGAAATGGGGGTGTAGTGCTACCATTCATGAAGAACAAAACCCACTGTGAGAATGGGATTGTGTGTGTGTGTGTGTGTGAGTGTGAGTGCTTGCACACAGGTGTGGGTATCAGTGCATTCAGTCGTGGACATCTGCAGGCTGAGATGTTTGTGGAGTGTTGGAATACTCCAGCCAGACCCAGCCCAAGTGTTTTTACTCTGCCCATGGACAAAACAAGAATACTAGCCTTGTCTTATTAATTACAATACAGTAGAAGGCTAATAATGGTATGTGATAAATCTACTTTAAAAATGAAATGAAGTAGCTTCCAGAAAACTAACGTGAATGACAAACAGTCCTGGTCTCTTTCCTTCTGCGTGTGTGGGTTTTCCTCAGCAGGCAAACAAGCTGATTTTAACTCAGGTCTATATGTCACTCATATTACTGTGGTTCTGAAATAAGTAATTCCTAGAATTCGCAGCCACAAAATATGCAGTCGAGTTCTGGGAAGCAGGGACAGTAAAGCCCCTGCTACACGGCCCAGGCACTGGCAAAGCTGGATGTGATTGGAACCCCAGCCTGTTTCTCTCCCCCTTTCACCAAAATCTTACACAGTGAAACCACTCCACACGGTCCTTTTCATAGCATGATCAAGAGGAGCAGCGCTCAGGCGAAACAGTTCCAGAAGGACCTGGGAGGGCACTCGTAGGCCCATGTAGAGGAACCCAGAGAGGTTGCCTGGCTAAATCATTTAGCCACGAAGTGGTTGATAGCAGAGAACTTCATTTCCATGGCTGTGGTTGTAGCTGTGGTCACTGCTTTGCAAAATAGCTACCCAATGCTATTTCACACACTGTGTGAGCTCCGGTTCCCATCGCTCAGGGCTGAGAAGTCAGCCCCATTCCTTACTCTGATGATGTGTTTGATACTTCTTTAGCAAAACCTGAAAATACTGATCTCTTTTTAATCAGTACTTTTATTGGCAAGTGTGAAAACCAGGTGGAGAAGAGGGAATGGAGGAAGGAGGAGAGGACTTTTTGAAATGCCTTATGCCGATTCCTCTCTTAACTGAGCTTCAATCTTCAGTCATTCATTCAACTGCTAGATGTCATTTGATTAGTATGTGTAAGGCCCACTTTGGGCCAGGAGCTGCATGAAGGACTCAAGAGCAGTAGACAAAATACAAGTGGTCCTCGTGAGGCATCTTCCTCCAGGAGAGGACACTAATGGACCTTCACAACTTGTCCGTTGTTACCAAGAGAAAGCATTTCTTCTTCTTAAAGACTTTCCTGAAATGACACTACCCTTGTCGAAGCTCCCTCTGCCCCCTTCATTTTTGGCCTTTCTGAGTTTCCGTTGTCAGCTCCTTTCCCTCCCTCCATGGCCAATGCTGGAAAGCCCCTGAGCTGTACTCTGGACCCTCCCTCCTCTTTTCATCCTCTTTCGATAGATGTATTTCCCATGTCTTTAAATGCCATCTAAATATCCTGAGTGCCCAGTCCTCGTCCCCAGCCTGGACTTTTCTTCTGAGCTCCAGGCCTATAGATTCAGCTGCCTGCTTGGCATCTCTGCTTGGCTCTCTCGTGGTCCATGTGTTTGTCACAGACCTGAAGCTGATTTCTGCTCCCCTACGGAGAACAGCACTCCATCTGCCCAACAGTTCAGGATGGAAAGTTGGAGAAAATAATCCTTGATTCTCCTATCCCAACACCAAATCCATAATCACTAAGTCCTAGCAATTTCACGAATAAGATGGATCTCAAACCCATCTATACTTTTTTCCTACCAGGACTCTGACTCCTGGAGTGTTATGCACAGAATCAGTTGCTATGCTTCATGAGCACCCTCTTCCGTTTATCTGCTTCTGCATAGCCACTACCCTTTCCCAGGATGCTATAAACTCACCCAGAGAGTTTAATAATCTGCTGCTTGGACTGGATTTACCTCCAGCTCAGTAAATTTCCACATAGAAGCTGAAGTGAACTTTTAAAATTCTAAGTCAATCCTACATCCACTTCCTGGCTTAAATTCTTCAAATGATTTCACATTGCTCTTGTAGTATGTTTAACATGGTCCTAGAGGACCTTCTGACCTGGCCTCTACCTATTCCCTAGCCAGTTTTCCTAGCTCCCTCTCCTTTGGCCACACCTACCTTAATTTTTCTAAAAGTGCATCCGGGTCTTTTCATTCTCAGGGCTTTGGTGGTCTCTCTTCTCGGACATATAGCCTCTTTTTCTTCTTTCCATTTCAGCTTAACAGTCCCTTCCTCCAGATGATTTTCTCTTTATCCAATTTTAAATATGTCACCATATTATTGCACTGATACTCCTGGTTATTCTATTCAGAAATCTCACATTTATAATCACACACTTTTAAAAATGTTTTTATTAGGTCTTCCTCACTAGAATGTGTAAGCAGAAAATGTTTTGTGGTAAGGTTGTTTACCAACATATCTCTAGCACCTGATACACTGACAAGCAAGTAGCAGGTGCTCAGTTAGGTATTTTGGGGAATATCCCTTATGTAATTTGGGCTTTATACATCACTAGCACCGTAAACAGAGGTAAATCTTAATGTTCATGTTCACTGATTGTTATAAGCAAGACAATGTGCTGGGTCCTTCAGGAGATGCACAGATGTACAAAGAGTAGACTCTCATTTTGAGCAGCTGATACTTGAAAAGGAAAACACATGTCTCAGAGGAGAATATAATATGGTCCAATGTGTATGACTTGTCCAATGAGCAGAGAAGTGACTGTTGAGGGAAACAGGCTGGCATAGGCATAAAGGACAGTTGTAGGATGTACACTT